ATGAGATGAGATGAGATGAGATGAGATGAGATGAGATGAGATGAGATGGACCCTCTGGAGGGGCACAGACCACACTTCTGACTTTGGATGCTCAGTTTTCCTTTTCTCTCCAAGACCATCTCCACATAAGCCCAAGTGACAGACCCTGAGCAGATGGGGTCCTGCAGAGCCCTGCATACCTGCACACCTGGAGACAAGTAAGAGCCTGGCACTCCTGGCAGGGACCGAGGTCATACCCAGAATGGCTCAGAGCACCCCGACACCAGGTGCCTGCAGCCGAGCACCAACAGTCTGGCACTGGGGAGCTCTTCCAGAGCCAGGCTGGCTCTCATGGGCCCACATTCCAGGGGAATGGAGCTGTATCTGTAACAGGCAGCAATGTGAGAAGGCAGACAGGCATGGCTGAGGCTTCTGTAGGCTGATCCCATCAGGTGTCCATGAGAGCAGAGCTCCTCTGGAAACCTCACATATGCCTGTCTGCATGTTGGGGGCCAGTCTCATGGAAGGCCAGACCCCAGTTCTTTGGTGCCAGTCATGTAGGCAGGAGCACAGGGGCCCCAGCACAATTTATACCTCCTGGGCTCCGAAGCACAGCCGGGCTTCTACACCCACAGGAGCAGGAGCAGGGCAGTGAGCCCCAAGACAAGAGTGAGGATGATGAAGGTGATGGCTGCAGCCCACAAAGAAGGCATGTGCCCCTTCACCCTGATTGGAGCCTCCGCCGGGATCATGTTGGTGAGGTTCAGCATGTACCCCAGTGTCCAGCCAATGTCAGCACTTCCTGCCTGCCCAGGGAGAGAGGGAACAGAGTGTTAGCCCTGCAGGAAAGCCACTGATATCACAGGGCCACTATTTGTGCTCAGCCCAAGCAGGGTGCAGCAGCTGCCCCCACACCGGTGCCACACCAGGACAGAGACAGGCAGGGTTCTCTGGACCATGGCTCCCCTGAACCACAACACAGGGGCTGGATCTCCCCCAGTGCCACCTCTGCTCCCCCCCACAGGCTGAGGGTGCTGCCCACCTTCATCTGGAAGAAGATGTTTTTCCAGCTGGTCTCATTGAACTTGTAGGCGTCGAGGAGGAGTGTGAGGATGTAGTTGGCATTGGCACAGTATTTAGGCAGTCGCTTGGGATCCTCTTTAGGGTAGCTGGAAGATAGCTGGGGTGGGGAACATTTGGGGATGAAGGGAAGTTGTCCACAGGCAATTTCTGTGCAGGGACAATGCCCTGACAAGTGCTGCATGAGCGGTGGTGGCTCCACAGTCACCAGCATCCAGAAAAAGACTTCTGGACCAGGCAGTGATTTTGGACCTCTCTACACAGGGCAGCTCCTTTGGGGAGGATATACGTTCCACATGGAAACATGTGGACATATTGGAGCTCCTCCTGCCCCAGATTCTCCCATCTCTCTGCCCCATGGTGGTGCCACATCTCTGGGTCTTATCCATCCCCATTTTTTGCCCAGAGATGTTGTGGCTGCCTCATCCCTGGAAGTGTTCAAGGCCTGGTTGGATGGGGTTTGGAGCAACCTGGGCTAGTGGAAGGTGTCCCTGGTCATGTCAGAGGAATGGAACAAGATGAGATTGAAGGTCCTTCCAACCAAACCAGCCTGGGATTATACGATTCTATGGTTTGACTTGTCTCCAGAGTGGTTCCAGCAGCCGTCTCTGCTCTCACCATCCTCCCGTGCCACAGATCCACCTCCATCCCCATTCCCACCTTCATTCCCAGCTCTTGTGCTGCCCTTGCCTGCCCTGGTGCATGAACATCCTTGAGTGGATGCAGGACAGTCTCAGCTCCACACAGCACAGGGATGGCTCAGCTGTGCAAGGCACAGGTCAGAACTGGGCAGCCTTTCCCTGGACGGGTCCCTGCTGATCTCCCCCCACCCCAGAACCCCTTTGCTTGTGAAATTCCCCCACAGCCTCCGTCATGGGGAGCTTACATCTTCCCAGCTCCTTGTGCAGAGCTGCTCAATGGCCTCCCTGGCTGTGGCCAGCGGCTGCCCCTCCGTCAGGTTGAGGAACTTGAAGTTGTAGTAAAAGGCAGAGAAGGCCTGAAAGGAAGAGGCAGAAATGCTGGTGAGCTACAGTGGGGAACCCCCAGCAGCTGCCCCCATCTCCCCTGGATCAGGAGGTCGGGTTGGTCCTTCAGAGGATTTGCCCCACCCAGGGTAGTCCCAGGGCAGTGCTGTCCCTGTCCCAGCAGAGGATGGGCTGGGAGGTCAGTGCCTGCTGGTGACAGCAAAGTGACAGCCAGCAAAGGCAGAGCCTTGCCTGAAGGCTGCTGGCTAAACTCCTGGGTTTTTACCAAAAACTTGGGTTTTGACAAACACCTATTTTATTAACACATCCTTGGAAGCATTTAAGGCCAGGTTGGACGGGGTCCTGAGCAACCTGATACAATGGGTTGGGGCGTGGAATGAGATGATCCCTTCCAACCCAAACCATTTTGAGGCTCTGTGATTATTAACACGGTCCCATTTGGAGATTTGGCTGAAAAACCTGGCAGTGGCAATCTTTGGCATGTCCAGGGACAGTGTTAACTTGAGAGCTCCTTGCCCCAGTTCACTGCAGGGAGGTGACAGTGCCCTGGGGCGGGCGGGGACACCACAGCGCTCAGGGACGTGCCCTGCCCTGGGGCGGGAGAGCGGATCTGCCTTACAATGAACTGCCCTCGGAGTGGGGGCTGGTAGACGCCGTCGAAGGTGCAGTCCCGGGTCTGGCCGCACGCCGAGAAGTTGAACAGCTCCCTGACGGCTGCCAGGCACCCGCTGGCATTGCCCCTGCCCTCCAGGGTCACCGTGCTGTCACCGACAGGCAGGCGGGCGTCGCTCCGGTCGGTGCAGGGGCTGGCGCGGAAGGCAGACAGACGGACCGTTTCATTGTAGCCCTTTGGGTAGCAGGGGTGATAGACCCGTGTGCTGGGGGCCGACGCCTGGGGACAGCAAAACACAGGCTGCAGCCTCCTCCAGACCCTCCTGGCAGGCAGGGGCCAGGACTCACCCAGAATCCCCCCAAGGCCACGGGCACCGGCATCTCCCACCTCCTCAGCAGGAAAGATCCTCCTGCTGTTCAGTCCTGGTCTTGTTTGGCTGTCTTTGTCCCAGCCTCAGCCCAGCACTAATTGTTACTCTACTTTGTCTCATCCCCTCTTCCACTGAGGGAGACCTGTTTCAGAGTCCCAGAGTGTGTCTCCCCTGGCCAGCACGATCATTTTTGAGGCATGCAAAACCCTCTACACCCATCTCTAGCTCTGGCTCTAGCTCCAGTCCCAGCCAGAGGCAGCACCTGGGACCTTCCTGGCTGTACAGCAGGAGCAAACCCCTCTGGATCACCGAGGCTGCTCTCCTGGCAAAGTGCAGCTCCATGAAGACATATTTCACCTCTGACCTTCAAAAAAATGGTCCAATAAAGGTCTTCAGTTCACTTTTCTCATGTTCTTGCAGTCACAGAGTAGTAGCTGAGTTTCAGGGGGACCTATAGGGTCCCTGTGCCAATCCCCTCCTTAGAGCATGACCAACTAGAGCAGGTCACTCAGAGCCTTGTCCCATCAAGTTATGAGTAGAGTATCTGAGTATCTCCAAGGATGGCAACTCCACACACTTCTGGGTTCTATTCTGATATCTGAACATTCTTATTGGGGCAAACTTTTCCATCTGGTTTGAAACTCAGATGTTCCAAGTTGTGCCTGTTGCTTCTTGTCCTGGAACTTTGCACCTCTGAGAACAGCCTGGTCCCACACTTTTGTGCACCCTGT